TGCTTACAACAAATGCGAAATCGTTGACACCTTATTCAGCGAAATTCAACATATCTCCATGTTTGATGTGTGTGCAGTTGGCTACCACTACCAGAAGAAGGGCTGGAAGACATGTCTGGTGTGTGCCGACACGTCAGAGCTGGTGCCTCGACCAACTCAAACAGAATGCCACGATAGGCTCGCGTTCCGTTCTATGGCAGGTAAATGTGTAGCGTTGAAGGACCATTGATAGATGTTACTGACACTTTTTACGCTGGAAATAGTTGAAAAAAGTCTCACCTGCCCAAGTTATCTGTGCACATTTTTTGGCAGGGACCACAAATTTCTCTGTCTCCTTCTGAAGCTGGAGTGTATTTCACTGCACGTCCTTCACCTGTGTGTTTAATATGCACTTGAAATTAGCCACTCTTAAACTACAATTCATGATACGTATACATAATAATCATAATTTCATCAGCTATACGGAGATGGATCCAGTGGTGATAGCTCAGGAGGGAGTGGAGAAATTCAAGGAAGACTCTTTTGAAGTCATCATCGTTGACACAAGGTAACTAGCTATCATTTATACGAAAGTCTAGTCCCGTTCACCCGAGCCCCGGAAGTCATTGTGTAAGCTATGTATGGAGGTAGCGCATACGTACTACTTCGGCATACTTGGTTATGGGACATGCAGCTAACTTTTTACTGATACCGTTCCACGTTTATTGAAGGATAAGGATATCATCAGAATTGGAAAGTTGCAAAGATTACAGTAGTGCTAGCATCTTTTACAATCAGTAAAATATACAAGTTGTGAAAATTTTGAGGCTCAGGTGAAGTCAGATAGACTTTAGATATATAATTGGTGCCATAATCTGTGCAGTGGTCGGCATAAACAGGAGGAATCTCTGTTTGAAGAGATGCTGCAAGTCTCTCAGGCGATCGTAAGTGGCAGTATCAGCAATAGAACCTTATAATGTATACCTCATGTTTCCTCACAGGACCCGGACAATATCATATTTGTGCTGGATGGTAAGTACACACTATACTTCTCCTGGCATTAAAAGGGAATGTGGCAGTATAATTATAAAGGGCTAAATTTAGAAATGTTACTAAAACGGAACTTAATTGCATTCTTTCACTGTGCCCCTATTGTTTTGGTCTATCTTTAGTAACATTTCTAAATTTAGACTGCCACATTCCCTTTAACAGCAGTTTTCCCCACCCTTGCCCTTAGCCCCAGCAACGTACTCTCTATTATCATCCAGGAACCATAGGTCAGGCTTGTGAGTCTCAGGCCAGAGCCTTCAAAGAGAAGGTCGATGTTGCCTCGGTGATTGTAACCAAACTGGACGGTCACGCCAAAGGGGGAGGAGCCCTCAGTGCGTAAGTAACAAAAACCTTACCGTTTTGCCACTCACTCAATTTTCTTACTCCTCCCTCCTCCCTTCCTCTTCCTGCCATCATTTTTTCTTCGTGAAACTACTTTCCTTCTCCCTCTGCTGTACATTCATACTAAAACAAGAATCAACCTCAGTAATACTCTATCAAATTGATTCTCTTGCCTCGTCCTCTGACTCACTGTACACAATATCTGTACACATCTCTCCCAGGGTGGCGGCTACGAGAAGCCCCATCACATTCATAGGAACAGGAGAACACATTGATGAGATGGAGCCTTTCAAGACAAAACCCTTCGTCAGTAAACTATTAGGTCAGGCACTACACTACTAGCTATAATATACATACTTCGAGCTTAACACTTAACCAGCCTGGACACATAAATGTGTCCAGAGCCTTCATAAGTCCATAAGAATAATATATATGGGGGCTATGCTTATTTAAGCAGATACCCATGGTGTCCAAAGGGTTTTAATCATTACCAGAGAAATGTGCTACAAGATTAGTCATACAACCTTTAGCGTTTGAAGCAATGCACTATGTATAATTTGTCATCAGTAATAATAATACCCAACTGTCACCGCTTGATTCAAGGCTTAGGGTCTGTATGTACTGGAGAAAGCTATCACTGTGTAGGTATGGGAGATCTGGAGGGGCTGATGGAGAAGGTCAGTGACCTCAAACTGGACGAGAATGAAGAACTGATGGACAAACTGAAACATGGTCGGTGCAATTACATCAAGACCACACCCAATAATTTCCTCTATCAAATTGTTTTCACTGCAGGTCAGTTCACGTTGAGGGATATGTACGAACAGTTCCAGAACATCATGAAAATGGGGCCTTTCAACCAAATCATTGTGAGTAGCGTTTTATGATTTTGTAGAATGTGAAATACACAAAAATGTGGATATGTTCTCGATAAAGTTTCATCAATGTCAGTAGGTGGTGAAATGTGTTGTTCTTTGACATTCTTCTTCCCTACTGAGTTGTAATAAAAGCTGTACTGGCACTGCAAGAGGGCAAGCCAGTTGAGCCTTATCATATAGTTATCCCTCTTAAAAATTCCACGCATGAGAATATGTGAGTCTTTCAAAACATAACATTCTGTGGGTTGCCGTCTCTCCGTGTCACAGGGTCATGATACCAGGCTTCAGCCCCGACTTTATGAGCAAAGGAAACGAGAGAGAATCAATGGCAAAACTAAAGAGACTGATGACTATGATGGACAGCATGAACGATCAAGGTACAGATTTTCCAACAACGCTAATTTCAGTTGCTCCCAAACTGGTTTTTCCTGTTCAGAACTGGATCATCCAAATGGAGCCAAACTGTTTTCGAAGCAGCCGGGACGATCAGCTAGAGTGGCCAGGGGATCAGGTATGACAAACAATAACATACACCTTACGACTGCACATTCATTTTACAACCCAATCTTAGTCATGCCTTATATCACAATCTGTCAGAAACTGTGTGTGTCTGCTTCGTGTACAAGTCAGATATTATTTATGATTACCGGCACTCTTCGTACAAGCATTGAGGCAAATTACGTACCGTAGGAAGGGCTATACAGGAGTAGCATGGCATACGTTTGAATAGTCCTGTTGTTAAAGGTACCAGTGTGCGGGAGGTGAGCGAACTTCTGAAACAGTATTCAAACTTCTCGGCCATGGTGAAGAAGATGGGAGGAATCAAGGGTCTGTTCAAAGGTGAGACTACTAACTGCACAATCTGTGAAACCTCTGAAAAGGTCCCTCGGATATAGGGTTAGAGATTGTGCCCATTGATTTGTAGGTGGTGACATGGGAAAGAATGTGAATCCAGCGCAAATGGCCAAACTGAACCAGCAGATGGCAAAGATGATGGACCCCAGAGTCCTACAGCAGATGGGTAAGGAGAAACCTACCATAGACCAATACTCCCCACTCACTATACAGTATGAAGCATAATCTGAAACACTTCATTTTTAGCCAGAAACCTTCAAGTGAGAGACTTTGCTGTTAGACTCCGTGATGTGACAATTATGGCGGGGTCGTAGACTGTGTTTCTATTATTGTGTTGAATGGGTCTTGCTGTATTTTATGTATATACCGTAATTCTATCGCTTTGACTTCTCTCTAACTATCACTCTCTCTTTGTAGCTCACTGATACTCAGCGTGAGAATGAGTGGTCTCAGAACATGATGAGACAATGTCACAGCACAGGGCATCAATATGCCGGGGTTCAAGGGAAAATGACTTTCATTCAAGCATATTTTTTCATGTCAATCTACCAAGTGTTTTACAGCTCAGTTGCCTCATTATGATTACTGCGCATCACCTTTTGTGTGAACTGAGTTCCTCGTGAATTAAAATCAAGCTTATGTAGCGCCAAACCTGTTGGCATAAGCTTTTGGCGGTCTTGTTGTGCCCAGTGCCAGAAAACGGGAACGGACTCCAACCCTCGCTGCGCATGCGCGCCGAGTGTTACCTGTGCTGTTGATCGATGTTTAATGTTGTATATCTTTTATGCATGCTCGTTCTCCGGCGGCCGCCGGCTCAAAGAGCGAGGAGTCGCGGCGAGCAGCGGCGAAGCAAGCGGTTGGGAAGTATGCGCTATGCCGCTTAGCCACATAGTACTAGGTAGGCGTATCTTGTTTTTCTGCACTTCGACAAGTACAAACAAACAAACAATGGCGACCGGTATGTATTATATAATTATACTTTTACCTTACCTGCGACTTTTACAGGCGACGAAACTTTGCAAACGGGCGAACTTTACAAGGTCGTGGAAGCGTTGTTAGAAGCAAAGGATAAGGCTTACGAACTTGGCCTGAGGCTGTTTCAGTTGTCTGCCCGATCGCCGATGAAGTGCAAAGCATATTGCAAACATACATCAGGGA